AGTGCTCTGGAAGTGAGACTCTGCCACCTCCAAGCTTTACTCCCACGGCGTCTCTCCCCTGGGGCGCCCCCCACCTGCCCGGCCAGCCGGTCTGCGTCAGGTAGCACAGGGCGTCATTGCTGTGAGCCCCTCTCCTGACGCAGTGTGCGGAGAGCAGGCAGCCTGTGATGACCAGGGGACCAGGGGTGGTGTCTGCGGCTGTGGGCTGACAGGCTGGAAGGACGCGGCTCAGCAGCTGCTGCAGTCTGCCTAGCGCAGGGGACTCGCAGCGGCCACCGCCACCGCCGCAGCAGCAGCAAGGGTTGACTTGTGCTGACTGCAGGGCTTTTCTTGCTTACTTGGGCACCACAGTCAGTCAGATGAACAGCCCTTTGTTCGAAATGCTTCAAAGCTGGGGAGCTGGCGAGTCTGCAGGGAAAAGTCCTGGCCGAGCAGAGAATGTGAGCATCAAAGGCTGGTAAAGACCCTAGGATTTGCCCTCTTCATCCACAGCTGAGAAATCACAGGTCAAGGCAGTTCAAAGGATAAGCTGTGTGCCCTTGAGGCCAACAGATCCACACGGATTTCCCAGAAGAAAGGACTTTGAGCCCCTCCTCCCCCTCCCCCGCCATAGGAACACATGTGCTTCTTTGTTATCTCATGAGAAAATGGATGTCCATTTGGTGCTTATCAGGAGGCGAGGTGGCAATAATTACCCATATGGGTCAGGAGGTGGTCCCTGTAATGGATCTCTCCAGTTGTATGCAGTTCCTGGAGGGCGTGGTGTGTCCTCCCAGAGCTACTCTCTGCAGAAAATGCTGGTGACCAGGAACAGGACCATAGGAGTAAGTAGATCTGCTGTCTAGTGGCTCAGCTCCCATCACAGGATACCGATTCAACAATCTCGCTCACTCTTCTTTCTAACTTTGGGACCAGCGTCCTTATTTGACTCTTAATGCACTGGTTCCTTTTCAATCTCCTGTTACTTCCAAGTTGAATCCGGTGGTGATCAGAATCCAATGGCCTCGTCAGAGCCTCCGCACCAAGCCCCACTCGGCACAACTAGAGACAGGTAGGGGAGAAGGTCTGGGGACTTCATGCCTAGCCACATGCCACATGGGACAGGCTCAAACAAACACTTGTCTGGACTACGGTTGCAGTCACCGCTGTTACGCAATGCTGGGCATTTGCATAACAAATTGCGTTCATCCGATTTAACATTCAATGCGAACTTAGTCTGTGCCGGCACTGCACCAAATAAATAACCCACAGATCCTCGAAGACCTTCGTGGGGGAAAGGAGATGCTTATGAAGCAATTGCCACATCACGCACACAGACAATGCTGGATGGCCAGCGGAAGACCAGGCGGGGCATACAGGAGGAGAGAGCGGCTCCCTCCGGAGGTCAGGAAAACTTCACAGAGGCCTCTGTCAAGGCAGGAACCAGTAAGCACAGAGCCGAGACCGCAGTTTATTAACAACAGCAAGAGAAGAATTCACATCTGGGTTGAAATTCTAACCCCCAAAGTTAAAGCTCTAGAAATGGGGCTCCCTGTTAGTCTCCCCAAGTGCCCTCCTCAAAGCATCTGACGGCAAGGCCGGCATTTTCCCCAGCCACTGGTCCCAGCAGGTGGAGGGCTGGGACGCCTGAATGTCACCCCACCCAAACGGAGCGCCTGAAACGGAAATCACTTCACATGCACACCAAGGAGTTCATATCATAGTCTCAGTAAATGCACACCTAGTCCACACAGGAGGCCTTCTCCCGCCCCCAAAAGTGTTTCATGTGCGAATGCCATGTTTAATACTTTATTTTTCTGTAGGCAGATTAAAAACAAAAGTTCAAATGAGGAGGGGACAGGAGAAATGCACATTATGCCAGTTGTTCGTTTGCAGTATCACGGCGGACAGAGGTGACCTGCAACACCCCCTCCCTCACGTTCCCGGGGACCATGGGCTCGGGCTGAAGATGTCTGCGGAAAGGAAAAGGCAGAGTTCCG